CTAAGGACAATAATGGGGCATTCCCGACAGAAGGATTTATGTCTTTTGCATTCGCGAGTGGAACATGCCTCAAATTCTAGCAACGATGGATCTATAATTGTTAGTATCCATATTCTCTTCCCTCTTACAATTACAATTATATATTTTCAATGTTACATTGACTCGCTTTTGAATTTGAACCTTGAAACTTCAAAATAATAGTTATTGATCAACAATAGTTTGGATTTTCATTTTGAGATTCTGAAAATTGGTTTTTGAGATCTGCATCTAAGGTTTAGTTTAAACACTTTATCATCCTAAGTAGATCAGATTCTCTGTTAATTTCTTCAAGAGGATGATTTCTTGAAGAAATTGACCATTTCATTCTAGAATCTATATTTCATTCATTGATGACTCTCCAGAGTTGAGTTGCGGTGCCATGAGATGAAGAAGCTGATGGACTAGCTGCTATTTCCATGAAGAACAAGCCACTAGCTATACTAAGTTCGGAGAAGAAGGTTGCACATGGAGGTAGTACTCATTTCCTAAATAGACATAGGATTGTTTGAGCTTGTAATTACTTTTTTTTGTAAGAATCTTCTTGTGGATTGCCTGGTCGGAGTGATGACCCTTAGTTTTCCCAATGATGGGTTTCTGGGTAAACATTTCTGGGCAAACATCTCTTATTTATATGCCTAGTAATAGTGTATGTGTTATATCTGAAATGCTGATGAATGTTCACACACCTATCACTCTAGTTGTTGCTAGCATAGCGGATGCTTAGATTAACAGGTCCTTTTGAGTGCCTAGGATGTCACTTAATTATCTTCTTGGCTTGCAGGGATTTAAATATTTGATATGGACATTTGTTTCTTTACACGATATAAAAGATAACAAAATAAGATTGCTCTTTATTTATCATATACAAAATGTATTCTAAGGATATTACATCAACTGTATTGGCTCTTAGGGCACATTTCTAATATGGTTGCCACGAGAGCGTAGGTATGCTCGGATTTCAATTCGGATGTCGTTTGGTTATCGAACGGAATTACGCCTATTGTGCGGTATTCGGGTTCGATATGTTCAGACCGTTGGATCTGGTCCAAATTAATATATGTTGATCCAGGTGCTCCTAGGATTGTATAGGAATTTTCAGATTGTAAATTGAAGCCCCAGATGTTCCGATTCAATAACTTGAAGTTTGCTGTTTGCAATAACCTTTCCGATTGTGTGATCGTGAGCGATCTAACCATTCGATTTGGACCAAACTTGCAGGACGTGTTTCCTTAACCTAGTGGGACCCATAGGAACTCTCAGATTGTGAAATGGAGGCCGTGGGCCCTGGGGGCCCAGTTGACCCGGTTCGGGAAGTTTGACCGCCTGGTTGACCAAATGTCTTCTGAGGCTTTTCCACTGTCCTAAACACATAGTAGGACCTTAGAATACCTCGTTTTACGTGCACGCACCGAGAACTTGGGGAAATTAGTATTTAGATTGTAAAATTCCGTCTCCAAGTGTTTTTATATTAATTAAATGTTCGTATCTCAAAAAAAGGTACCTAGACCGCTCGCAGCAGGAGGGACCCTCTTAAGGTCGGGCAACGTGAGACTATTTGTGAGTGGACATTTATTTTAAATATGCATTATTTTCCATAATTAACAGAATATGCATGAAATATATTTTGGAATAAAAATTTGAGAAATTTGTATATAGTTATATTAGTAATCTTTAATTGGAAATTTGTGTGATTTGAGATTTGAAAGTTTGAATTATTTTGGCGATGAATTTATGTGAGAATTGGGATTAATGAATAAAGTGGATTATTTTGTGAAATTATATTATATAGTACACTATCTTAAGTACCATATAGGACTTAGTGTTGATGTTGTTTGCACGCGTAGGACTTAGTGTTGGAGACACACGTGGTGTTGGAAATTTTTTGGCGTGTGTGCTATAGAGTTTCGTACCCCGATTGGACTGCTCATCTCTAGATGCAGGATAGAAATTGGAAATCCTGCGGTCTAGCCAAACAATCCCCTGATTGGATTTTTTCCTCAGTACCTAAGTAGTGTAATAAATATTATATATATATATGTATTTGTATCTTAATTTGTTTTAAAGTATGTATAATGGCATTGAATAACTGATATAAATTATTACGAACAAAATTCTGATTTTTTTAAACTTGTATTTCATTAATGGTTTTGCACATACGTGTTTATATATATATATATATACAGAAATTCTCTTATGCGGACATCCGGACGTTATTATCGTGCGGACGCAGTGTATTTTGTACTACCTCTCTTTGTTTTCCTGCCTGTTTACAATAGGATCCGCACGATAATAACGTGCGGACATCCGGATAAGAGAATAACTGTATATATATATATATTTATAAACATTGTGAATAAATTTCAAGAGATGATGTGATGGTTTCCAATGGATTTGGATATGAGGTATAACGCTTCCTGGAAATACTACGTTCTATTGTAATCAAATTAAAATTAGTAAATCTGCATGTTTTGAGCATGTTTTTTTTTTAAATGGTGGGGTTATTATGTTGTTTTGCAAATTTTAGTTCAAATTTTATTTTTGTCCACTCACATGTTTTCTGTTTTGCGCCCCCAGACAATAGTCGCTCAAGAAAAGCCGCGGAGCCAAATCCGAAGCCTTCGAGTCGTGTGTTTCAGTAGTATAGGTTTTAAACTCTTCATTTTTGTCAAACTTCTTGTTATAGTAATTCACATTCTATAGATGCTCTATTATCGCCCATGCTAGGGTGTAATTATGAGGCCAAAGGCCATACATCTGTTAATTGTTGAATGTTTATATGTATGTTGCTGGTTGGGTATACATTGTGATTGTTATGGAGGTTGAGATTTTTGGGATTGTTCAAATTACAGAGGAGACTCTGCTGAAATTTCGGGAAAAAGTCTCGAGTCTTAGAATGTGAGCCAGTATCGAGTGATGCCGGAAACTAGACGGAATTTGTCCGGGATTCCAAGGATATTCGGGGTGAGTCCTGTCAATCCTCCTAACCAAGACCATAATGTGCAATACGATCATTAATCCCATTAGCAGTGTGGAGAACATAGTAAACAAAAAAAGACGTCACAGAAGCGAGAAGACAACGACAATCCCCCACCAAACTACCTGTCTTGTTGAATATTTGTGATTTGCAACTGCAAGTTGGTTTTGCATTTGCTTTCTTGACTAGGATGTTTTTTGGGAGTCTTTTTGGACTTTGATATTTGGTTTGTAGGAGTTCCTATAGAATATTGCTAAGTGATGATGGATTTTGAAGGGTCTTATGGGTTTGGTAATTAAAGCATCTTAGGTGTATTTGTTTATTTGTTTTTTCAGTATCTTAAAAGTGAAGATTAATGATGATGGTCGTGGTTTTTAAATACTTCTTACTTAGACAATGAAGGTTATATGTGTCGTGAAAATATCGACTGCAATATACTGACATGCGGTATGTAGTAATTTGTTGGTCAGTTCATGGTTTGTCTTTTTAGCATACTGCATTATGTCGGTTGATTCAAGATTTCATTGAAAAGTTGGGGTAGTCGAACCATAAGCATCCCTACTTGAAGATATACTTTGTAGCTTTACCGTGGTAGAGATATGGATCTCAAGCTTATGCATTTAGAGGCCATGCATTTACCCTCATTTCGTTAAATCTCAACAGTTGTAACAATCTATTCACTTAAAACACGATATGTAGTCAAGCTTTGAGTTAAGTTCTTTTTTTGAGTTTTCTAAATGTTAAAACAAAGTTAATCATGACAACAAGGACAAAGTATCACAAAATATTATAATATTATATACATATATATAAAGTACTCCCTTAACTCATTATAATTCCTCACAATAACCTTTTAGAGCACCTCCACCAAAAAGGGCAAGGGTAAGGCCAAGGCAACGTAAGGTTTGTCACTATTTATGTGAATAGTGGCAGCCCTTACCTTTTTTATTTCCACTTCAAAGGGTAAGCACAAAGGAAATTACTATTCACTTTAATTTATTTTATATTTTTTAATACTTAAACCTGTTATAAATAATGGAAGTGGAGCCCACATTGAAATTATGAAGTTTGAAAATATGGCAAAGATTTCACTGTACACTCACGGATGAAAGCGATGGTTTGAAATTGAGGCAGAAGATTTGCACTGTACACTCACGAGAAAACTTCAGAAGCGCCTATAAATAGGCTTGCTCATTCATTTGTAACACACACACCATCAGAAGAGAGAAGAAAGAAAAGGAGAGAGAAATTTAAGTATTAGTGAGTGAGTTTCTATTTGAGAGGAATTTCAACTGTGCAAACACCACAAGAAAAGATTTAATTCCACTATCAATTTTCAGTGGTAATTCCTTACTCTAATTATTTTATTTTTATAACACGTTATCAGCACGATAGTCTCTCCACTGTTAAATTTTCTCAGCTCAACACTATGTGGTTATTCCTCTTTCTCCTCTCCGTCATATGTCTCCTCTCACTCTACTACTACGATGACATGCAAACTTTCTTTTTTGTGTTCTCACAATTTTTGTGTTGTTTCATCCATGTTTGCTTAATTTATTTCTTTGTAATATAATTTGGAATGGCACGGTTTTATACCCCATTCTGTTGTTTTATGGTGGTGTAATTTTCATTACCCATCACGTTGTAACACAAATTATCATAATAAAATTATGGTGTGATCTTAAAACCCATCTACTATATAGTGGTGCAGTTATATTGCCCACAAAATATAATATGTACTTCCTATATTTTTAGTGGTGGTTTTATTCCCACACTTATTTTATTTACTGTATGATGTAGGTTTATTACCCATATGGCAGTATTTATTTAAAGTGTGGAGCGGGTTTATCGTCCACACAACTGCCTTTTATTTCTTAAAAGTATGGAGCAGGATTAGTGCCCATACCAGCACATTTACTTTTATTTAAAGTATGGTGCGGGATTAACGTCCATACAACAAGCAATTTACTTTATGAATTTACTTTACTGCACATTTACTTTCATTCAAAGTATGGTGCGGGTTTATCGTCCATACCAGCAAATTTATAGCACTTTATTTTTATAACCAACTAAAATAAGGGCCTGGAGTTCCTCAAACAATTATAGGGCCTGAAGTTCCTATTAATAAATGGCTTAATGTCCCAGATCCCGAATCTGAAATTTTGAGTAAAATATTTTTGGCATGAAGTTCAAAAATATATTAAGCCTGAAGATTATTGCGAATTCTAATGCATCTCATTCTTCTTTTGAAGATGGCAAATCTGGCTAAATTGGAATTCGCTGCCCTAGAGCTTTCTGGGGACAATTACCTATCATGGGTCCTGGATGCCAAGATCCATCTGCGTGCTAATGGCCTTGGCAAAGCCATTGAAGATGGAAGTGATGCATCACCTGAGGAAAATGCGAAGGCCATGATTTTCCTTCGCCGCCACATTCATGAAGCGCTGAAGAGCGAATATGTGGTGATTGATGAACCATTGGTCCTGTGGAAAGCCTTGTGTGAGAGATACAATCATCAGAAGACGGTGACTCTCCCAAAAGCTAGATATGAATGGACACACTTGAGATTTCAAGACTTCAAGACAGTGTCCGAATACAACTCAGCTATGCACAGGATCACCTCCCTTATGAAATTATGTGGTGAAAATATATCTGAGGAAGATATGCTCGAAAAAACTCTGAGTACATTTCATGCCTCAAATGTGCTTCTGCAACAGCAATATAGGCATAGTGGTTTCACAAAGTACTCAGAACTTGTATCTTGCCTCTTGCTTGCTGAGCAGAACAACGAGCTTTTATTGAAAAATCACCAATCTCGCCCAACAGGCTCAGCACCACTTCCTGAAATAAATGTTGCATCTCGGGAAGTGAATGCCACCTCATCTCGTGGCAGTATCCACAAACGTTGGCGAGGAGGCAAACGTGGCCGATGGCAAGGGAGTAGAAAAGATCGTGGTGCTCACTCATACAGCTTGGGGCCAAGAAACAATCCACCCATGAATGGCAAAAATCCACCCAGAAATAAGGGAAAAACACAAACAAGCTATGTGCCTAGAAATGATGAAAGAGCTTGTTACAGATGTGGTGCAAAGGGACATTGGATGCGTACATGTCGTACGCCGAGGCACTTGGCGGATCTTTATCAAACTTCACTTAGAAACAGAAAAGTGGAGACAAATTATGTTGCACCAGATCCGCCAGCCATAGACGGCTCATCGGAAATATCGCGTCGTTTAGACAAGACGCATCTAGATGTTTCCGATTTTGTTACTGAAAGGGGGAATGAAATTTATGGGTCCGAACTGGATTAAATTCCTTCATGTACCATTTGTATTATCTGAAGCACTGTTTATTTTCCTTTCTGCCTTCAATAAAAATGGCAATGTTTTGAATGATTGTTGATTCAACTTATTTTATTTGAAGGCATGGATGTAAATTATGGATGCCCCCAAAACAAGAGCTCTAGCAAAGATATTTGTCTTGCATCTGTCTTAATCTTTTTTTTTTCTAAAGAATTAATTTTTTACAATATTTTAATGAATTTTTAAAATTTAATTAATATTTAAAAAAAAAATGGGGAGACAAGAATGAGTTTGAGTGAGACTCAAATACATTTTTGGGGTATATCAAAAAATAAGCCTATATTATATACGTACAGATTCCCTTGCATAATAAACTCGGTAAGATCTTCCATCCTTTGCAATCTCTTCCTCAATTTCATCGACAAAATTCAAAAGGGTACGATAATATATTTGCATATAGTCTGGGAGTTCATCTATGCAACTCATATCCCACCTGAAAATTTGATAAATCATTCATTCATCTTAAGCTTATAAGTTGGCTTATTTAGGAGCACTTCGGTAATTACAATAAATAAATAATTTGGTATAAGTTCAATTCTTATGATAGAATTTGAGTGCAATCCGCAAGGTCATTTGACTTCAATGCCACATAAGATTACATTCTTTTTCAAATTTTATGATGTAATCATATATATATATATATATTTTGTTTTAAAATTTATTTTCATGTTCCAATTATGCCCTTATGATTTAAATCGGGAAAGACTGATTTATATCATAATAATTTGCTAATTAATACAATTATTGATTCTGATTGTGATTCATAAACAGGTAAGAAATTAATTTTAGGCTAATAATTACTATATTTGACCTTTTAGTTAATTATGATTTGAATTTATAAAATATTTTCTGGTCTATCTATTTTAATTTTGAAAATCCCATAAACATGCGCTGATATAAAAAATAATTTTTTTTTCCTATAATCTTTATTCTTCATCTTGTTCATCTTCTTCTTCTTTCTTCTTCCTTCTTTTTCTTCTTACAATTCTATGGATGACATATAATTATCTCTGGACTAGGAATATCAATGAATGTTAATTAGGTGTGGATATAGGTAAATTACCTATGGAGGAGGTATACATATGAATGGTATTTATCTATGGAGGAGGTATACAAATGAATGTTAATTACCTACAGAGGAGATATATGAGATGAAATTACCTATGAAGGAAGTATACACAAACCAGCAAAGCAGGTAAATCAAACCACCCAAAGACATATATACCTCACCATAAGGTATTCACTAGTTGATAGCGTTTGATAAATTCAAATTAATTGTCGAAATGTGATATTAATTTATTGATTGCAGTAAATAATAAAATTTAGAGAACTGACTGTACAATGGCAATATGTGTAAATGTTTTAAAAACAGTGGCCAAGGCTTTCATACTTTGCTGGCCCTATTGAGTCGCTGGACCGAATTCTACGTCCAAGGAGAGGTGGACTAGATTCACAGTGCAAACTCAAAATTGTTTCTATATTGAAAGACCCCTACAATAAATCAGCTCTAAGTTATTAAAAAGAAAATTATGTTTTCAAAGTAGTACCTCTCAATTGCTGCAGTAAAGATCTCAAGTTCTTCAAACGTAGCATATGCGTCGTAGGTATCATCCATCACTGATTGCAGGGCACTCATTTTTGTAAGAAATTTTCTTGCTTCGACGTATTGGGGTTCAAAGTATACTCCGACCATCCAAAAGTACAACTCCACGATCCTGTCTCTTGCATAAGGCATCTTCTTTGCGAAATCTACTTCTTTCCACCACCTAATGAGCAATAACATTAGCTGATATGTAAGTTGAGTATATATGCTCACATTTACATTGAAAAGAGAGAGTTACCTAGTAATCTCACTGAGCTCCTTTTTGTGCAAAGACTGAACAAGATTGAAATCTAACTTTGCAAGTTTTAGTAGAGCCTCATTATGTGAAGCTTCATCTTGGTAGATTGACATGTAACGCTTGGCACATACCCTCTCTAGATCTTTTCGCAAAGGTCTCTCCAAGGCTTGAGTGATTTGTTCTGCAAGTTCGTAGCTTCCATGAGCTTTTGCAGCAGAGTCAAGGTGAGTGGTGGTGAAAGCAAGAGCTTCATCTAGTATTTCTTCTCCGCGTACCCCTAGATGACCGGCTTCATAAAGGCTTAGCATCCCTGGAACATCGGCAATTAAGCATTCCTTGAAGTTGCCATTTTCGTCTTTGAACTTGTTGAACACATCTGCTTGATTGACATAAAAATGAACAGGCATTAGTTGGCCAAAATCAGTCACATTACACTACATTATAATTTGTTGATTAACTTACCACATGAAACCTTATATCCATGTTGTCTTAGTAGCCGGAAACAAAGAGCAACGTTGTGTAGATCTCCATCATCATTAAAGTCCTGGTCACAAAATGCAGCATGCATACGCTCCAATGCTTCTTCAATTTCACTTTCAAAATGGTATGCCACCCCAAGGCGCTGGATTGCATCAATAAACTTGAGCTGACGTGAAAAGTCACCTGCACTAGTTGTGAATACTTCCCTCCTCACTACTTCTTTCAGTTTGTCAACTTCTTGTTGGTTCCTGGCATTTGTTATCTGCAGCCGCGGCCAGTAATTAATTAAATAAGCAAAACACGAGTGAAATTATTTTTTTGAGAAAAATTAACATGAAATATAATGATAATTTGCATGAGATTACAATGTCTTGGGAATCATAGTTGAGAAACCGATCACCCCAAATGCTTGGTGGGAAGTTTGCTGTCCGCCGTATAATTTCAGGCTTGGCCTTTGGTGATTGAGCTGCTGCACAAACTTGGATAGACATGTTTCTTTGTTTTTTTAGAAAAAAAAAATCAGACGGTGCACTTATTAGAGCTTTGCTATGAAAAACATGGATTGTAGACTCACATGTATATATAGGCAAGGGTTGGGATAATGATTATTGCAAAGCAACAATAGAATCGTGCATAGCAGATAGAATTTCCAAATCAATAATTTCCTTGGTAACTATTTTGAGTGCAGGATACACACGTTTTTAAATCAGTTATAATGGCGAGTATGGCATTGAAAAAGAAATCAACACCATCTTAAACATGAGTAATATATTCTCTCTCCTCTCTCCTCATAATTTCATTTGTTTTTTTTTCCTTTTTAATCACTTATTAGAGCTATTATTTTTTATGTCGGTGTTGGCCCTATTAGGCCTAGTTTGGGATTGCTGTCACTTTAAAAAAAAGTAGTTTATGTTGTGCTTTGAAAATAATTAGTTGTAAAGTAAAGCAGCTCCATGTTTGGTAAACAATATTTTTAAAGTGCTGTTAGTACAAAAAGCAATGTCAAAACCGTTTGGTAAATTTTAATATAAAACTGTTATAACTATGAATAATGACTAAAATAGACATGATGTTGAAAGTGTTATGTGCTAATCATGTGGTGGTAGTGGTGGTGGTGGTGGAGTGGAGGTGGTGATGAAGGTGGAGTTGGTGGTTGTGGTAGTGGCGGTGGTGGGGATGGCAGTTGTGGAGGTGGAGGTGGTGGTGGTGGTGGTGGTAGCGTGGTGGTGGTGTTGGTTGTGGAGGTGGTGGACGAGGTGGGGGTGGTGGCAGAGGTGGTGGTTATGGTGGTGGAAGAGGATGTGGTGGTGGTGGTGGTTGTAGAGGTGGTGGTGGTTGTAGAGGTGGTGGTGGAGGTGGTGGAGTTGGATGTGGAAGTGGGGGTGGTGTCATTTTTAAAATGAATAATGGTATTTTGGGAATTAAAAAAATCCATTAAAGGCTCATCTCTGCTTCTTTTGAAAGCAGCTTTGAAAAGCAACCCAGAGCCTGCTTTTAAAAGCTGCTGTCAAAAGGCCACTACTTTTAAAATAATCAAGATATTTTATTTTTACCAAACACCTTAAACTGCTTAACTTTAAAGTGAAGCAGATTTTTGGCCAAAAAAAGCAATCCCAAACGGGGCCTTAGTCCTTTGCCTTTTCCATTCTTCTGGTTCTCACTGGAATACTACCCATTTCAGTTCTCAAACAAAAAAGGAAATTCTTTCATAAATAATAGAAATATATATTCCTTAAAATCCATCTTATGAATTCCAGACAATCCAGTTGTGAAAGATGCTGAGAGCGGATCGAAAGCTAAACAACAGAGAGTGAAGGGTAGGGCAGATTATTTTTGGCCAAAAAAAGCAATCCCAAACGGGGGTCCTTTGCTTTTTCCATTCTTCTGGTTCTCACTGGAATACTACCCATTTCAGTTCTCAAACGAAAAAGGAAATTCTTTCATAAATAATAGAAATATATATTCCTTAAAATCCATCTCATGAATTCCAGACAATCCAGTTGTGAAAGATGCTGAGAGCGGATCGAAAGCTAAACAACAGAGAGTGAAGGGTAGGGCAGATCAAGGGGCACTACTACAAAAATTGCAATAGACGACGGTAATCCACCGTCGTGTATTCGGTTTTTCAACCGTCGTGAAATCGACCGACATCTTTTGATGCATAAAACCACGACGGTAAATCCCCGTCGTCTATTATTTGTAAAGACGACGCTTTTACTCACAACCGTCGTCTATTATATGTAATAGACAACCATTTTTTTAAAAACCGTCGTCTATTATATGTAAAGACGACGGTTTTTTAAAAGAACCGTCGTCTTTACATATAATAGATGACGGTTGTGTGTAAAAGCGTCGTTAATTGTATAGAAAGATGACGGTTCTTTGTTAAAAAATTTATGTAAAGACGACGGTTTTTTGTTAAAAATCATCGTTGATTGTATGTAAAGACAATGGTTTTTACAATAAAACCATCGTTGATTGTATATAAAGTTCCCAAGCTGTTACATTTTAGTTTTTGGTTTCCTGTCATTCTATACAACGATTTTAACTAGAAAACCAACCATAATGCTTTATTATGAAATATATACATTGAAAAATTATTTCTTTCATAAAACTTGAAGATTCAATAATTATTACATAGTTAACCAATCTTTATCTACAGAATCAGCTTCAACTAGTTACATATAAAGTGGATGAATACCCAAAGTTCATTGGTTTGCCAGCCTTCATTCTTGAGCTCTTAGATGAGTGTGCTTTTGAGGCTCAAAGGTTTTTGCACAAGGTCTTTTTGCCAAGGCCTAACCTTAATTCACCATTCCAGACATCAGGATGCATATCCACATGTCAGTATGAATCTAATTTTCTCTTCAGTGTGTAGTTCCAGTGATTTTTCATTGCATTGTCAGTCCTGCCAATTTCAATACAAATTAGAGGAGTGAGTGCAATCAACAGAAGGAGCCAATCTCCCCATTTAACTTGTGTTCGTAAACATTAATTACACAATCATATAATGATTTATCTATGTGCATAGGAAACTTTATCTTCACCAGCAAAAAGTACACAAATAATGCATGTCTAAGATCTAAATTTTGACCAATTAGTATCATATATTAATCCCTATCCAAGAGATAAACAATACAGATTTTTACCTCATTTGCACCACATACATTCACAGGCAAAAAACTATGTACATATTTGTTCAACCATCAACTTTCAGTTATTGCATATCTTCCAGTTAGAAACCTTGCTATTTCTGCCCATTTGTTACCAAAGACTTGGTGGTAGTAAGCCACTCCTCTTCTTTTGTCCATGCATTTCTATTTATAGCCGGGCATAAGTGATTGTACCACCAGAAAGAAATTACTAACTTAATTATAAGAAAATAGAATTACAATTGTGTATTTGGGTGGGGGTGTGAGTGCAGAGCATCATCTTCATCGTTTGCATAAGGAAGGCCACAAGAAGGATTTTCACATGAAAATAGAAATAAAAAAAAGAAGAAGAATGATATTAAATAGAGTGCGAGAGGGAATACCAGCTTGAAGAAACTCTTGTATAAAGATTCCAATTAAGAGTGCAAACTCAAAATAACCACAAATCAAGCCATTGATCCTTTCTTACATTGAATTTGAGAGTTCGACACGTTTTTTCAGAGGACATCAAGTGAGGCATATCGACAATTCGATACAGAAAATATTAACCACATACATCTGAGCACACTTAGCACCTTACAATCGTGGCATAATATCCACACTCAGAAAAATATTCAAACATGTACAGCCTTGACAAATAGGAAATTCAAAAATATTTAACGGCCATAATTTTGTTCACCGGTTAAATCTGCTAAAAGCTGCCTGATAGATAATGACCAGATTCGTTCGTTTGTCTGTGTTTTTTACAGAAAAAGATGCAAAACTCGCTTAGTATGCAGTCCCAAGAGGACTGTTCCAATTCCAATATAGTGGTACAGTTGAGAACCTTGGTCCAACGGTAATATAGGTGAGCATTAATCAGAGCAATTATTCCAACAGAACGGTTAACCCACCAACCAGCAAGGATCAAATGAAACTAAAAATTTTACTTTTTGGTCCTCAATTTTGATCCTTACTTACATTGAATTTTGAGAGTTGGAAAGTTTTTTAGAAGACATCAAGGGGGACATATTGACAATTCAGTACCGAAATATTATCCACATACATCTGAGCACACTTAGCACACTTGGCACCTTACAATCTAGTCATAATTTCCACACTCAGAAATGTTATCCCTAGACCCTAATATATACAAACACAGATATCTTTTGTCGCCGTCGATGACGTGTCTTTGCATATTCAGCCATCTTTTGTGCAGTGTGAAATGTACGTAAAGATGTTGAAAATTCACACACAACAAAAACTTTAGCCAATTCATGACCAGTTTGGTTCGCTTGACATGAACAAAGTATTCTGGTTCCTTCTAACTTTAAACTCTTGTTTTGATTACGACATGTTACTACTACAGGTGAAGCTTAATAAATGGTCAAGCTCCATGAGAGGGATTCATTTTGATGAGGGTGGAAAAGAATCGCATTGTTTCGAATAATTCAATCATCTGAACTATCTAATTTGAGATTCGAGTTATTATTTTTCTTGTAATCTATATATATAAAGCAAAAGTCAGAGAATGGTGAAACATTCAAAATACCAGAAAATGCCCTTGGTTAATGCAAACATTAAGAATTGAAATTATTAATTAAATGAGGATAATATGGTAAATTCACACTTTTTTATATTTAAAAAATTAAAATTAAAAGAAAAATCAGATAATGGATTCTATTTTTATGGAACACAACTACCCATTATCTTTTTTAATCCTAAAATAAATTTAAATTTTTTTTAAAAAAAACCTCTCCCAGGCGCGGAAGCGCATGCAGAGAGGCTAGTATAGAATTAGTCAACAGACTGAGGACATTTTCTAATAAATAGTTCATTGCATATGAAAAGAAAAATTGTTTACACACCATCTTAACCACTTATTAATTCATGTAGGACTTTCTTGTATTCTCCAAAGTAGCTTTCACCCAAGTGTGGATTGGATTCGGGTTAGACATCTTTCCTCCATTAGTTAAAGCAAACAAACAACATAGACATGAAGCCAAAAGAAAGGCGGCAAACACCTCCTACAACAAAACAAAGATAGACTAGAGAAAGCAAAGAAAACAAAGACAGCTGTCTGAGTCTATCCTCTAAATACAGAAGGATTGAGTCTGATTAAATCAAGCCCTTGTAAAGACACCTTGTTTTATCTTCATTTGTTCATCTTCCCCAAAAACTGTGAAGACCCGTATTTTAAAAGGATAAAAGAAGATATTTATCTTTTGGATAAACTTGGACGATATTATCTTTTAAAGATATTTATCTTTTGGATAAACTTGGATGATATTATCTTTTAAGATATTTATCTTTTGGATAAACTTGGATGTTCTTATCCTTTTAATATTGAAGTTTATCCTATCCCTATAAACACTATAAATAGGAGCATAAC